GCAAGAGTTACTACCGGTAATTGAAGAAGGAACTTTTCCAAGCTGGATGGCCAGTTTATACTAGCTAGAGGATTGCAAGAGTTACTAATTGAAAAAGGAGTATTTCCAAGCATGGGGCTAGTGGGACCACGGATATGGCCTCCAAATTTTCTAACACACTCTGCCCAATGCCATCTTCCATAGACCGGCCTGTCCATGTGTTCCATCTCCACTTTTTATACAAAGGCAAGACAGAGTTTGCCGTTTGAACTCAAGGCTGTTTTCTCCCTTCCATCTGCACTGATTCATAAAAGGGAGAGCAAGAGCATCAAGTTACTCCGAACCCCACCTTGAAGCCACAGGCGTGCCTTATGCGTCACTCCATCACCCCAGAGACACAGACAAACAATAGAGCCACATATAGAGTTGCCGCGGGTCATACGGAAGTCCGTTGAAATAAAATTGCACCATGCACGGTACAGGTTGTGTCTCCTTTATCCGAAATACTTGGAACCAAAAGTGTTTTGGACTTTGGAATTTTTTCCCCCCAGATTTTGGAATACTTGCATAGGCATAATGAGATCTCGTGGAGATGGGACCCCAGTCCAAACATAAAATTCATGGCCAAGCCAGAAGTGTTTTGGACCAGAAGCGTTTTGGACTTTGGATTCCCCACTCCCAGATTTTGGAATACATGGATATACATAATAAGGTATCTTGGAAATGATGCATAATGCATATACATGATGCTTCCTGACCCATCGCCAAGATATCTCATGTATAGCCAAGTATTCCAAAATCTGGGGGGGAAATCCAAAGTCCAAAACACTGCTGGTTCAATACATCTCCAAGATATCTCATTATGTATATATACTTTATGTGTTTGTGTTTTGTATACACCTTCTACGCAGAGCCTGAAGGTTATTTTATAGAACATTTTAAATAATTTTGTGTACAGTGAACCATCAGAAAACAAAGGTGTCACTATCTCAGCCACCCATGAAAAAGGTTTGGGGTTTTGGAGTATTTCAGATTTTAGAATTCCAGATAAAAGAGACCGAGTGGATTTCATAGAGACCCAGCATGGCATCGTGGTTTGAGCATAGGACTATGACTCTGGAGACCAGGGTTCAATTCCCATTCAGCCATGGAACCCACTAGGTGATGTAGGGCAAGTCACACTCTCTCAGCCTCAAGGGACAGCAGTGGCAAACCCTCTCTGAACAAATCTTGCCAAGAAAACCCCATGGCCTTAGGGTCGACATAGGTCAGACCTGAAGGCACACAACAACAAAGTGAATTTCATACAGTTTTCTTAGGTAAGGAACACTCCGAGGTGTTCAATAGTACACATTTATTACAGTTTGATGCTCCTTGAATTATTACAGTTCCATCCTATTTAAGTATGGAGTGCTGGGATTTGTAGTTCAATGAGGGACTCAGAATTCTCTGCTAGAGGGCTCTAGTTCTGTACTTCAGGAGAGGGCAGGATTATAAATCTCAACTTTAATAGAATAGAGACATGGCAACTAAAGTGGCATCTAACTGTATAGTACAGACATGTTCTTAATCTCATGCTACTGTGCATTACTTATTGATCTGATTTATTTATTGGTGTATTTGACTATTTATTGACTTGATTTCATTATTTATATGCCACCTTTATCCCCCAATGGGACCCAAAGCAGCAGCTCCCAAAAGAAAACAATTCAAAACCAAGCAATCCCATTTGACAGTCGAGTACAAACTGGAGATACTTTGGAAGTCAAATGTAAATATTTTGTATATAACTATATAATATTTTGTATATAATTATTGTAAAAGACATTAACATTTCAATTTGATATTCATGTTTGAATAATACATGTTAATAAAATATAATGGGGGGGGGGAAAAAAACCCAAGCAATCCCATTTTAAAACCAATTAAAGTCAACTCATAGAAAACATCATGAAATTGTTTTAAAAAGGATGCAAAAGTCTAGAAAGGAAAGAAATAAGCCATAGCCCAATAAGATGCCTCTCTGAGAGCGATTTCATATGATAAACCTGCTTAAAACAAAATTACAAACTTAATTTGATTACAAACTTAATTTGATGGGATGGAGCAGTCGACGTCTATGGGATTAATCAATTAAACATTGCAACGCCGACTATATATATAAAGATGATTAAAGCAGGGAAGAGCTTTGTATAGCCTTCCAGATTGTCATGGAACCGAACTACAGTTGGCCCTCGGTATCCAAGGATTTTTTTATCCATGGATTCAAGCATCCACTGCTTGCAAATATTTTTTAAAAGATATCCATTCCAAAAAAGCAAACCTTGATTTTGCCCTTTTATATAAGGGACGCCATTTTACTATGCCGTCGTATTTAATGGGACTTGAGCATCTACGGATTTTGTTATCCACAGAGGTCCTCATAGTGGATACCAAGGATACCAACTGTATCAGCATCCCTTGCCACTGGTTATGCCAGCTGAAGCTGATGGGAGTTGCAGTCCAACAGCATCAAGGTTTGCATGATCTCCCGAATCAGAGCATCTGACCTACCTGGGATAATAGCTTCCCAAATAATCCTTGGTCCCAGTGCCAAGGTCCCAGAACCAGCATGGCATAGTGGTTTGAGCATTGGACTAGACCAGGCTTTGAACCCCGACTCGGTCATGCAAACCCAATGGGTGACCTTGGACAAGTCACACACTCTCTCAGCCTCGAGGATGGCAATGGCAAACCCCCTCTGAAGAAGCGTGCCAAGAAAAACCACGATAGCTTCACCCTTAGGGTCGCCGTAAGTGAGAAACAACTTGAAGGCACATAGCAATCAACAAAGAAAATAAGAAGCCCATGTAATGGTTTGAGTGTTGGACCAGGACTCTGGAGAGCAGGGTTCGAATTCTATTCACCTTAGGATCCCCCTAAGTCGGAAACGATTTGAAGGCGCGCAACAAGAAGAACCAGTGCCAAGGTCTGCAATGGGTTTGCAGAAAAGCGATCTCTGCAGTGCCCTGAGAAATTGCTTGACTGTCGTGAATGCGATGCCCTCGCCAAGCCTTGGCACCAGGTCCAAGGATTACGCCAGTGCTGTTCTTTGTGACTAGCACTCGGCGTAACCCGGCTCTGCCGTCCCCAGGAACGGTCCGTCTCTGTGCAAGCTTTGGGTCTTTCTCACTCCACATCCAGGCAATGTGCCAGCGAGAAGAAAAAGAAAAAGAAGATTCTGGCATAGAAGAAGAGAGGGCAGCTCTACCCACTACAAACCCATTAGTCTCTCTGCCTGCGGCTGCTAAGATGATCCCTTTTAGAAATGTTAGCTATAAAACCTAATTTATGCTCCCAAAACCATTCTCCACGGGAGGCTGAGAGAGTGACCCCTTTGCTTTCTGATGGTGCAGTATCACCAAGGTATCTCATTATGCGGTGTAGTGGTTTGAGCATTGGACGATGACTCTGGAGACCAGGGTTCGAATCCCGGCTTGGCCATGTAAACCGACTGGGTGACCTTGGGCAGGTCACATTCTCTCAGCCTCAGTGAAAGGCAATGGCAGACCTCCTCTGAAGAAACTTGCCAAGAAAATCCCATGACAGGTTCACCATAGGTTGGAAACAACTTGAAGGTGCACAGTAATGAAAGTTAGACTTCTCTGTCAAAAGAGCTCTGAGGTTACAGCAAACTACAAATCCCAGGATTCCATAGGTGGATCCATGGCAATTAAAGTGGTGTCAAACTACATTACGGCAAAGGTTAGGTCAGCGCAGCCCTTCAAAGAGAAGTCAGTTCTGTGTAAAGGAGGATTCCTTCCCATCTATCTGAGATTTACTTCACAGGACTGCAATGGGAAAATTGCAAAAATAGGAAAAGAGAGTGTAAAATGCAGCCTTCCAGATGAACTGCAACTCCAGTATTCTTCACTACTGACTAGGCTGGCTAGGGCTGATGGGAGCTGCAGTCTGCCAACATCTGGGAGAAAAGGGATGGCTATGAAAGCTTCTTGCATCAAAGTCTGTAAAGCTATACTCCCAGGAGTAGGAATCAGGCAGATCTCCAGAATTTGTTGGCATTGCAACTCAGCCTTCCTAAACTTTGGCTGGCTAGGACTTCTGGGAGTTGTAGTCCAACAAGATCTGAAGAACAACGTGATCCACCAGTGCTACACACTGACATGAGAAGAAGGGCTGCATCTGCACTGCAGAAATAATGCACCACTTTAACTGCTGTGACTCAATACTATGAAATGCTAGGATCTGT